AAAAAAAAAAAATAGGGAATATAAACTATTTCAATAACTTTGAATAAGTTGGGTTAAATAAACTGCGTAATATTGTATTAAAATTCCACCTGCTTTTTAAAAAACATTTTTAATGTGGCTACCAGGAAATCTGAAATTATATACACATGGCTCCCATCTGAGGCTCTCAATGTCCTTCTTTTGCACAACACTGCTCCAGAGGACTTAGAAAAGGCAGCATTTGAGCACGAGAAGTAGTGAGGGAAAGGGGCTGGACGGCGGGTGGTGGTGTGCCGGGATGGACATTCCAGGCAGAGGAACCAGCACATGCAGGGGGCTCACTGTAACAAGCCCACCAAGGCTGGAGGGCAGTGCCTGACAACATTTCACAGATCTTTAACGAGTAGCTACTCTATGTCAGATCACGTTCAGAAGAACAAAAAATAATTTTATAGTAAAACTTAAAAAAAAAAAATCCAAAATTTAGTGTTTGAAACTAGAGAATTTATCTGATGGCACAAATTAATAATTAACTGCTTATAAGACAACTTTGTTTTTAATGTGGGAGTCAAAGAGAATGAGAATGGTTTGGTCTAGAGAATATTCTGATGTATCATTACCAAAAATACAATGACAACAAAATAACTAGGTAAGTTTGGAAAATTTTTGCTTCATTTCAGTAGTTACTGAAACAATCAATTTTTCAGCTGATTTAAGGCTCAGTCACTCAGTGAGACTAGCTCAGTTTGTCCCAGCCTAAGATTATAATACAATAGGCTAGAGTTTTTTTTGCAGTTGTTCCTAATGCAAAAATTCCATACCTCTGTGACCTTGTGACCCCACTGCGAGTAAACACTCAACCCCCTCTTCTAACAAGCAACAGTCTCACAGAGAAGGTTGAATTTCCAACACAGTCCAATGTTGTTCAGATGTTGAGGCTTTTATGTCACAGCTGTAATGTTCTGACAAATTTCAGCTAAGGCCCATGAGAAGAAGCAGGGTGGGGCCAAGAATGGCCACCATTTGGGAAAATGAGGCATCTGTCAGGCAGATACTGCTTACAAACCACTAGAATACCCATGAACAGTATTTATGCAATTAGAATTTGATGAATGATTAAATTATGTGCTCCCAAGAGTCAAACAGAATACACCTTCTCTGTTCCATTTACTGTTCTGTTTACTTTTCTCTTTTTCATTTTATTTGAATTATTTTACAATTATCTTTCTTCTAAAGGCAGCAGGCTACAGCACAAAGTCATGCGCTTTGGAGTTACTTGGACTAGTTGTGTGACTTTGGGTACATTACTTATTTTCTCTGAGCCTCAGTTACTTTATCTGCAAATTCTTACCAGGTGGTGGTAAGGACTATAAATAGTGCATGTAAAGTACCTAACGTATAGCTTTTACCATAGTAGGTGCCAAATACTGGTAACTTTTACTTTTGTTAATTTTTAATACTATTCTGACACAGATGTCCTTTTTTTTCTGAGACAGAGTCTTGCTCTGTCGCCCAGGCTGGAGCGCAGTGGCATAATATCTGCTCACTGCAAGCTCCGCCCCCCGGGTTCATGCCATTCTCCTGCCTCAGCCTCCCGGGTAGCTGGGACTACAGGTGTCCACCACCACGCCCGACTAATTTTTTTGTATTTTTAGTAAAGACCCGACTAATTTTTTTTTTAGTATTTTTAGTAGAGACGGGGTTTCACCGTGTTAGCCAGGATGGTCTCGATCTCCTGATCTAGTGATCTGACCTAATTATTATACAGTATAAGATACTGTACCTCTCCTAGTTTCAAGAAATGAAATGCAAAAAGGGGTCAAAGATGCCTTTTGCTCAAACAGTCCCACCTCAGAACTCAAATCCAAAACTTTAGAGAAAAATTCAATTCCTATTTTATTCAGTAAGAGTAGAAACATTTGTATTAATGCAATATAGAAATTAGTACAACCTGCTTTTAACAATAGGGAAATTTTAAGTGGATTGTATGTAAACAAAGCATCTTACCTTCTCATAGTAAATACTTAAACATCCCAGAGCATAGACCAAGAAGAAGGCCTGAAAATACAGCAAGCAGAAAATACTCATTACAAACAGTTCCACAATCTTGTGAAACTATTTTACAGACTGATCTCTTTTCACTTCAATACAAATTAATGCCCTTAAGTCATCATCAAAAAGGTCACATATTTTTAATATAAATGGTTCATTTGAATGTCTTAGATTTAAAAAAAAAATCTAAGAAAATACAAATGTTACCAACTGGTTTAAATCAATAAAAAATAAAAGATTTTTATGAATGTTTCCATATTTATTCCCTAAAAAACCTATATAACTGAAAAATGATGTTAACAGCTGTAGCAATAGAAATTGTTGTTCATTGGAGTTTCTCCCTGTACAATTAAATAACCATATTTAAATTGAGAAAAATATATATAGAAAAAAATGTGTGAAAAGTATGGCGCAGTGCTGATTTTGCTTACCTGACAAAATACTAGTTCCCCAGTTATCTTTGGTGAAATGATTTTCTAGAACCCTATGTTTGCACTGACCTCATATAATGACATATTTTTACTATGTGCGGGGAAGCCTGTAGGAATGGCAAAGAAAATTGGCTCCAGTTGAATACAATCACATTTAAATGGAAATGAAAATGGCTTTCTGTTAAAATAATACACTGCCAAACAACTGACACCACCCAAAGAGACATGTGTTGTTGGCTTTGCCTATCCAGGGTGCTTAGGGTCTACAGATACCACTGAAGGGACTCCCATGAGATTGGTGCATAGCAGGTAGTGACCAAATGGTAGCCAGTGGTAAAATGGGACTACATTTCTTTTTAAATATGAAGGTGAAAAATGAGATTTATAACCAAACATCGAATATTCTGCTTCAGCTCTCACTGCTGCTTCCAGCAGACACAGACAAGGAGGGGTCCTCTTGTGCAGTGTGGGAGCAGAAACATAATCCCCTCCCTGTCATGAGCCTTGAGGCTATTGTGCAGCAACAAGGCACTGACAAACTGCTCATTCAGCGTGTTTCCTCACTGTCCTTCCATCCCACCCCTAATCCAGCACACACGGAACAAAAGACAGCACAAGTAATATGGGTGGAAGGACTTCCAAGCAGTGAATACCTTGTCATTCTCTGCCTGGCTATCTGATGACATCTCTCTTCACAGGGGCAGTTCGCAAAGGATGGTCTGGGGATCCTGGGATCCCCAAGACCCTTGCAGGTCTCAAGGTCAAAACCACTTCATAATAACGTGGTGTTATCTGCCTCATTTGTGCTCTCTCCAGTGACTATAAGATGTGTGATGGTCCAAGATTGGAGCCAGAAGCAGATGCAAGAATCTAGATGACTTTCAGGAAATCAGACCTTAAATCGACTTGCAAAAATGAAAAACGAAGCCTCTTCTCACTAAATTTTTTGTTTTGGAAAATATAGTTACTTTTCATTAAAAACATTAAATTATTTATGTCAAGGTATGGGTTGTTGTTGTTTTTAATATGGAAGGTTTCACAAACTTGTGTCATCCATGGGCAGGGGTCATACTAATCTCTGCATTGTTCCAATTTTAGTATATGTGCTGTTGAAGACATCACTATTATTATTTTTAAATGTGTTAAACAGATACTCATCATTTTTGTTTTAATTCATAATTTGATAAACACTGACAAATATGAGGAACCACTACTTTAGTTTTACCCAAATCCAAATCTAGAGCATTTCTGGAGATGAAGGTAGTCACCTTCTATTCCACTTTTTCCTATCGCCTTCCTGGTCCCAGCCTGTGGGTGGCTCCTTCCTGCCTCCTGTGACACCCTCCCTGTTCTGAGCCCTCTACAGTCCACTCTCCACAGCATCCAGATTCATCTTCTTGGCACATGAAGATCATGTCGTTCCTCTAATTAAAACCCTCCAAAGAGATTTCACTGCCCTTAGAATAAAGTCCAAACTGCTTGCCACCAACTCCAGGTCCCTGCACAATCTTACCACTGCTCTTTCCAGACGTCCTGTCTGCACTTCTGTCTCTCGAAGACACTAAGCTCATTCAGGCCTTTGCCTCTGTAATCGCTACTCCTGCTATCTGGCATGTTCTGCTCCAGACTCAAAGGTCACCTCTCGGAAAGGTCTTCCTTGGCCACCGAGTCTAAGTAACCCACATCCTGATCACCTCCAGAGCACTTACTTTTGTCTGAAAATCTTTCTCTTACATGTGTTCCTCCGATTAGAATGTAAACTCTGGCAGAACAGAAACTGCCTGCTGTTCCCTTGGCCTAGAAGGGGGTCTAGTACATGTTGGGTGTTCAATGCTTGTGCTGAAAGACAAAAAAGACAGGTCCCCAATCTTGCCCTTGGCTTAGGCCCCAACAGCCAGAGCCACCCTACAGCAGGTCTCTCCACCTCACTCAGCTCATCTCTTCTCAGTGTGAACATTGTGTTCCACTTCTTTCACTGCTGTTGACAGCCCTGCCAAGTGGCCCACAATTTTATTTTGACCTTTTCTCTTTCCATCACTCACTACTTATTAATACAGAATACTGCTGTTTTTCAGATGGACTACAGGCCAAAAGGTGCAATGGAAAAGATAAAGTTGTTTCCTCAACACAGTTTGCACTTCTTGGTTCAGAATAGTGTAACACAAAGAATGAAGTTTGAGATCTGACAGACCTGAGCTCAAATCGTCATTGTTAGCTAGGGCCTTGGAAGTATCACTTAAATTCTCCATGCCTCATCTATACAATGGAGATCATAATGCTTTCTTAGCTAAATATTTTTTTTTTTAGCTAAATATTTAATAAGATTAAATCACACAAAGATTTTTATTTTTTAAATTATACTTTATGTTCTAGGGTACATGCGCACAACGTGTACGTTTGTTACGTATGTATACATATGCCATGTTGGTGTGCTACACCCATTAACTCGTCATTTACATTAGGGGTATCTCCTAATGCTATCCCTCCCGCTTCCTCCCACCCCACAACAGGTCCCAGAAATCACACAAAGATTTAATAAGTTATGAAAAGCACCTAAAAGCTCAATTAATTTTAGTTTTCCTCCTTTCTGGAACTCCTGACCTCAGGTGATCTGCCTGCCTCGGCCTCCCCAAGCACTGAGATTACAGGCATGAGCCACCGTGGCTGGCCTTAGTTTTCTTCCCTTTCTAATAACTGGATAGCATAGCCTGGAAAAAAAAGTTCAATCCCATCCTTGCCTAATAAGAGATTCTTTCCTGATATCTGCTAAAATGTAAGTTCCTCAAAAACTGATGTGTTTTCATTATCAGCAAGCATACATTTCCCCAAGAGTGAATGAAACCATTATCTCATTTTTATTTGCTTAAAATGGTGATTGGCTTTTACCAATCTATGCAAAATGTGACTAGGCACTTATTACCAATGGAGGAGATCTTAATTCAATTGAGTTGGTTTTATTTAAAATTAAATTATCAGTAGACTAGAGAGGTCTGTAGAGGTTGACAATCATATCCCCTGCAATCGCATTATTAAATTTTACTTTCACAGTACTAATAAGATGGAAGGATAAGTTTAATGATAGTTTTTAACATCATACTGCTAAATGTAGTCAGGGCCCTCAAGTGTTGTAATGGAAAAATAGATCTCAATAACAGATCCCTATAAAACAATGGAATACATTAGCTAACTGGCATGGCAATCTAATTATCCCTGAAATGAATACTGAATCATCCCCATGTCCAGTTCACAAAAAGTATGGTTTAAAATGTCACTGGCTAAAAGCAGAGGTAAGGAAGATGTTGCATGTGGAATATGCCATCTGGCATATGTGAATACAGTTGTAGGTGCCTAACCAGGAAAAAAGTGTATTCTACTAATGTGATCTAGTCACTGTGTGTGTGAAAGACCTAGTCACTGTGCAATACTTCCACCATTTAAGTAAAAGATCTATTTTGTGATCATCATCAACAATTTAGAGACAGAGTATGTATGTCCTATCAGGCAGAGAGGCAGAGAATAAAGGCAGGAACCAAATGAGCACCTATTACATGTGCCAGGAACTGTGCTGGTCATTGTGTATACATCACTGAACGTCATTAGCTGCTACATCAATTCAAGCAAAAACAAAGCACAATTTCCAAGAAGTGTTTTTTCTTGTGAGAGCTAGCCCTCCCTCAGCACAGACACGTCTTTCTCCAAACTGCCCATAAAACACATTGCACTGAAGTTCATTTTAAATTTACAGAAAATATATTCATTTAAAAATATCTGCCATTTTGTGAACTAAAGCTATGTCTTCACTCCACCCAGGGAAGTTGGCTAGCTGGGAGAGGGATGGGGACACAATGAGGAATATACATTGCTAACTGTCTTCCAGGACAGAGAGACGTCACACATATCACGCTGCATTCAATCTTCACTATCTTCCTCTGAAGGAGAACACTACAGCTGAGGAAAACGAGGAATGCCAAGAACACTGTCTATTGTGTGTCATACTGCATGTGGCAAATATTTTTTTCCCATTTCATCTTTTGCCTGTAATTTTGCCTTTGTCTTTAACATAGTTTTAAATCTCTAGGTAATGAAATCTATATATTATGGCCTCTTAGAAGAACTTATCCATATCTCAAAAATATATAAAACACAGGCAGGGTGGCTCACACCTGTAATCCCAGCACTTTGGGAGGCCGAGGCTGGTGGATCACTTGAGCCCAGCAGTTTGAAACCAGCCTGGGCAACACAGCGAAACCCCATCTTTACCAAAAATACAAAAATTAGCTGGGTGTGGTGGCGTGTGCCTGTGGTCCCAACTACTCGGGAGGCTGAGATGGCAGGACTGCTTGGGCTCAGGAGACTGAGGCTGCAGTGAGCTGATATTGTACCACTGCACTGCAGCTTAGGTGACAGAGAGAGTCCCTGTCTTTAAAAAAAAAAAAAAAAAAAAGAAAGCATAAATAATTATCCTTGTTTTCTATTTTAAATTTCCCTTTATATCTTTAATTGACCTGAAATTTATTTTTGTGTATGTTAGGAGATGGGATTTTAGCTTTGTCTTTTCCAAATGGCTAATCAGCT